CCCAGCCTCTCGGCCTCCTTTCACCTCCATCCCGAGGGGAGAGAGGGGCTCGGAGGCTCTGCACCTGCCGCCCGCCCGGGTGGGCTGGCTCGTCGAGTCCGGGTCCCTCCCGCCCCGCCCGTGTCGCCACGGCTCACGGTCGGCGTCCTAGACCTCCCCCCGCCCCCGCGCCCCAGTTCTTCGCTTGCTCTACGCCCCGGCTTCTGAAAACCACACCCGCGAGGACGCAGCCCTTCCCGTCGCGGAGTCCTCGGGAGCACTGGTCTTCCGCTCTCCCGGCCGAGCGCAGACCGCCACCTCTGTTGACCGTCACTCAGCCGAGTGAGACCCTGTCTCACTGAAGCTGCGGCTGGGTCCACGCCGTCCGGGAGGCTCGCGGACGTTGCAGTGCACGGTAAATGTTTAGTAACCGCCGTAGACAGGAAAATAAGCAGGTGACATTGACTTTTTTATTGCTTTGCTTTACCTGATATATCAAAATTATCATTTCCAAAGTACCCTAAAATTGTAGCCGGGTCCGGGTGCGGTGGCTCACGCCTGTAATCCCCGCAATTTGAGAGGTCTAAGTGGGAAGATCACCTGAAACCAGAAGTTCTGGGAAATATAGCAAGACCCTATCTCTACAAAAAAGAAAAAGAAAAAAAAAAAATAGCCAAGCATGGTGTGCACCCGTAGTTCCAGCTATCTGGGAGGCTGAAACAGGAGATTGGCTTGAGCCCAGAGGTTCGAGGCTGCCGTGAACTATGATCATGCCGCTGCACTCCAGCCTGGACAACAAAGTGAGACTCTGTCTTAATAAAAAGTTTTGGAAAACCATAGTGGGGGAGGACTGGTTTATTAGGACGTTTGCAGCAGTCCGCTCAGCACACAAAGTCCTGGAGCCCTCTTCTGAGGTGGTCGTGCGGGGGCTGCAGCCCTTTCTCTGACCTCCTCCTCTCCATGCAGCCCTCTTCCTTCCTGCAGTTCCTTTGATGCCCCGAGTTGGTTGCCCCACCTTCTTCTTACAGTCTTCTTTTTGACAATTTCCTCCACAGCCAAGGTGCAAACTGCCACCTTCAGCCAGTGACTTTGGCATCTAGACCTGCAGGATACAGTTCTTTCAGGGCTCCAGAATTTTCAGCAGCTGACTGTGCACTCCCTTATGTGTCCTGACACACATCCAAAACTTAAATTCATTTCCTGCCGACTGTCCCTGAATCCTGCTCCTTCCTCACACCTGTCATCTCGTTCAGTCTGTTGTCTGTTCCTGGTGGCCCTGTCTCCTGCATAGGAAGGAAGTAGACATACCAAGTTCAGTGTGTGAGTCTTGAAGCCACACCACCCGTGCTAATCTGGCTTTGCACTCACTTGTGGTGACCTTGGGCAGACCTCAGTGACTCTGAGCTTCGGTTCCTCACATCTAAAGTGAGAGCCACTTAAGTACAGAACCTTCTTAAGGAGGTTGTTATGAGGCTTAAGGCTGTTGGGTGAAGTGCTCAGAGACGCACAGGAGGTGGAGTGTGTGGGTGCCCATTACCTGCCCCTAGAGGCACCTGCCACTCTGCCACTGTCACTGGGAATGCTTCTTTCCCCAAGTGAGTCAGAGCCACTCCTCCCAGACTCAGCTCAAGCTTTGCCTTCTCTAGGAAGCATTTCCTAAACCTCGTAACTAACCGTAATGCAGTCTCTGAGTTCCCAACCCCATCCCAGACCTCGTAGTTCCTAGATGTCAAGAACTGTATATTCAGTCTTCCTAAATCCTTGACTAAGGCCTGGCCATTTTAGGTGCTTGAATAAAATGTTCTCTGAATAAATGAATGAATGAGGTATGAGATAATCTCTGTTCTTATTATCTTACAATGTTGCATGGTTTGGGGGTTTTTTGTTTCTGAGTTTAGTGTCTCACTCTGTTGCCCAGGCTGGAATGGCATGCTCAGACCACTGCTGGGCTCAGGCAATCCTCCAGCCTCAGCCTTCCAAGTAGCTGGAACTACAGACACACACTACCACACCCAGATAATTTTTGTATTTATTATAGAGACGAGGTTTCACCAAGTTGCCCCGTCTGGTCTTGAACCTCTGGGCTCAGGCAATCCTTTCGCCTGGGCCTCCCAAAGTGCTGGGAGTACAGGCTTGAGCCACCGCGCCTGGCTACAATGTTGTTAATGAGAAAAAGTTTATAGGATTAAGACTGGATTTATGGCGAGGCAATATAAAACAAAGGTTGAAAGGGTATAAACTTGGCTAAGATGATATCTTTGATGATAACAATATACTCTCTTTAATAATGGACCAAGTGTAGAGTTCACAGTTTTGTGAACATTTATTTGTGTTACATAAGTAACACAATCACATGGTGCAAATTCAAATGGTATAAAAGGGTGTCCAGAGGAATCCCTTGCAACCTCCCAGACACCAAGCTTTCCTTCTGTAGAAAACCGCCGTTACCAGTTTCTTTAAAATCTTCACAGAAATATTTCCTGCCCTAGCCGGGGGAAGTGGCATGTGTCTGTAGTTCCAGTTACTTGGAAGGCTGAGGCATAAAGATCACCTGAGCCCAGCAGGTCAGCCTGGGTGACAGAGTGAGACTCCGACTCAAAAAAAAAAAAAAATTTCCTGCCAATATAAGAAAATACAAGCCAGGCATGATGGCTCACAGTTGTAATCCCAGCACTTTGGGAAGTCAAGGCGAGAGGATTGTCTGAGCCTAGAGGTTCAAGACAAGCCTAGGCAACTTAGCAAGACCTCATCTCTACAATGAATCAAAAAATTAGCCAGGTGTGGTGGTGCATGCCTGTAGTTCCAGCTACTTGGAAGGCTGAGGTGGAAGGATCACCTGAGCCGAGCAGGTTAAGGCTGCAGTGGCTGTGAGCATGCCACTGCACTCCAGCCTGGGCAACAGAGTAAGACTCCAACACAAGAAAGAAAGGAGCTAGGCTCGGTGGCTCAGCCTGTAATCCCGCGCCTTTGGGAGGCTGAGGTGAGTGGATTGCCTGAGCCCGCGGGTTCGAGACCCGCCTGGGCAGCGAGACCTCATCTCCACAATACATCAAAAAATCAGCCGGGCGTGGTAGCGCATGCCTGTAATTCCGGCTACTTGGAAGGCTGAGGCGGAAGGATCGCCGGAGCCCAGCAGGCGAGGCTGCGGTGGCCGGGAGCGGCCACTGCACTCCAGTCTGGGCGACAGAGTGAGACTCCAACTCAAAAAAAAAAAAAGAAAGGAAGGAAGGACAGAAAAAATGTGTAATTTAATCATCATAACAGTAACTGGGAAAATAAGCTAAAGCAGAAAAGGTCATGTCTAGGAACTTAATGGAGTCCTGATTAAAGTGAGCATTTCAAACTCATTCTGGACAAAACCTTTCAGTGTGGGCAGCTACGAGGGCTTGCTGTCACCAGGCAGCTCACAGGAGGGATTCCGAAAGAGAGTGACACGGGACCCTGCCCAGGAAAGGGGGTCACCAATTCCAAGATGGGAAGAAGATCATGACTAATTAGTAAGCAGTTGGAGGAATGCGTATTTCCTTTTTATGGTTTTATATTGGACTGCCTCTAAAGGTAAAAATTTGAACTTGGAAAATGTAGATGTTTGATTCCAAAAGTACAAGAATTAAGGAAAAGTATCTGGCAGCTCGAGTCCCACACTTTGCCCCTGTCCTTGGGGACACGCTCCTGAGCCCAGATTGGATGACCGCCCTTAGAGGACACACAGGGAAGAGGCAGAGGGTAGTGACTGGATGTCCTGAATATAAGTACCACATGGTGTTTACCCCTGGTCAGCTGGATGGAGACATGAGACGGGGTGGGGGTGGGGGTGGGGGGGAACGAAAGCAGCGGGCTGGGTTCAAAATTGGCCTGTGTCCTGGCAGAGCCTGTGGGCTCCCCAGAAGGTTCTATTTAGTTCAAGTTGTGCCCTTTCAGCTCTTAGGTTGTAATTTCTCTGTCATGTTATTCCTGACCTTTCTACAAAAGACTGTGCATACCCAACCTGAAATTGTGATCTGGGGAGGGTTAACAGGACAGACGTGCTGAGGGGCGTGCGTTGTCACGCCTCCATCGCCCTGGCGTCCTTGGGAGAAAGCAGCACCCTTCCAGGGAGAGAACTGGGAGCTGTGGTGCTGATCAGGCACTAAGGAGTTCTCCTTGGTGGTCACTCACAGAAGAACAAGATAGACAGTCTAGGGCAAAACCGATTTCAACTATGGTTGCTCACGAGCATTGCTTGAGCTGCTTACAGAAATAATGAAACCTGGGGGCCAGGTGTGGTGGCTCATGCCTGTAATTCCAGCACTTTGGGAGGGCAAGGCAAGAAGATCACTTGGAGCCAAGAGTTCAAGACCAGTCTGGGCAACAAAGTGAGACCCCTCCCACCCACACACACAACAAATTTCTTTAAGGCAAACAAAAAACAAAAATAGTAGAGCCTAGACTTTCTATAGGCCTATTAAATCAGACTAGTAGGGGATACAGACATTGGTAGCTTTTTAACCTCGCAAGGTGACCCTAATGTACAGATCTCAGAAAACATGGAAAAATACATGAAACTTGAGTGGCTCAAGTATCAAATCAATAATGCTGATATTCCCAAGTTAGCCAAACCTACAACAGCTGAGAATTGGACTAAGGGTGAGATGTCCTCAGCGTCCTCCCAAGCTGGTGGCAATACAGTACGTGGTCACTGTTCTTTCACAGCTCACCAGCAAGACCATGCAGGTAGAAACAACTCAAGTGCCATCAACAGACAAATGGGTAAACAAAATGTGATCTAGCCACACAGTGGAATATTACTCAGCCATAAAAATAAAACAGTGATACTTGCTACATCATGGACAGACCTTAAAATATGATGCTCAGTGAAAGAAGCCAGACACAAAAGGCCACATGTTGTATTATTCCATTTATGTGAACCATCCAGACTATTCTAAAGCCCATAGAGACAGAAAGTGGACTAGGGATTGCCAAAGGTTGAGGAAAGGGGAAATGAGGAGTGACTACTAATGGTTGTGGGCTTGGGGTGATGAAAATGATAAAAAATTAGATAGTGGTGATGGTTGCACAGCCTTATGAGTATACTAAAGACCGTTCTGTCGTATACTTTAAAAAGATCAATTTCTTGCCTGGAGCAGTGACACCTGTCTACAGTCCCAGCCTACTTGGGACGCTTAGGCAGGAGGATCGCTTGAGTCCTGGAGTTCATGGCTGCAATGAGATATGATCGCACCACTGCACTCCAGCCTGGGTGACAGATTGAGACCCTGTCTCTAAAATAATAATAAAATAAAGGCAAATTTTATAGTATAAAATTATATCTCAATAAAACTGTTATTTATTATTTTATTTTATTTATTTTTTTGAGTCAGAGTCTCACTCTGTTGCCCAGACTTGAGTGCAGTGGCACGCTCCCAGCCACCGCAGCTTCAGCTTGCTGGGCTCAGGTGATCCTTCCACCTCACCCTTCCAAGTAGCTGGAACCACAGACCAGCTCATTTTTTTTTTTAATTTTGTTGTAGAGACAAGGCCTCGCCATGCTGCTCAGGCTGGTGTCGAACTCCTGAACTCAGGCAGTCCTCTTGCTTCCATCTCCCAAAGTGCTAGAATTACAGGCGTGAGCCACCATGCCCGGCAAAACTGTTGTTTAGAAATTCAACAGCATGAGTATTAATGCCAATGTGGCAAGCTGGGATGCAGATCACAGTAAACTTGGAGTGGGAAGGGAAACTTGTGCTGGCAACGTTGTGGGCAGGTGGATGCTTGAGAAAACCATAAGGGAGGAGACATCTGCCTCCACAGGGGCTTGCCTCCTAGGTTGTTTTGGAAGCCTTCATGAGGGCCATAGTATTTAATCAGATTGGAGAACTGTCTCTACCAACCCTGAATACACCTTAGAATCACTGAGTTTAAAAAAAAACAAAAAAAACCTAGCATGGGCCCTACCCCAGACCAATTAAGCAGACTCTCTGGAGGTGGGCTGGACACAGGTCATGTTTAAGTCCTTCAGGTGAGTCTGCAGTGTACCCAGAGCGTAGGTCTGAATGTTGAGAAGCCCCACCAGGCAGGGGAAAGCACCAGCAAAGACACAAATGCCCCACCAGGCTGAGTGCTCATGGAAACAGAAACAGTCACCAAGGTTCACGCCCAGGAGTTGGGGCTTCCTCAATGGTGGTGGAAAGTCCCTGAAGTCTCGCAGAAGCACGTGTGATGTGTCTGTGAAGACTCTGGGGACAACGGAAAGACACAGTGGCCAGGTGGGTGCCAGCGGTGGGGGGGAACACCGGCCAGGGCTGTGAGTGATGGGTGCGATGCCGACAGCGAAAGCCTTCCTCAGGCTATGCCTCTGCCTCCCACGGCCAGCGCATCTTCGCAGCCATCGCATGACCAAGACTCCCAGGCCAACTGGCTACACCATCGATCTTTAATAGTGTCTGAAGGGATTCTCTAACTTGGGCTTTGAAACAATCACAACACACTGAGAATGACAAGAATTGCTGAATGTTCTAGAATAAGCTCTATGCATGCTCATCAACATTTGACATATGCTTACACACTAGCTGCGAGTGAGTGTGATGGGTGTATCACCTACCCTACAAGGCAGGCTCTCCACACACCATGGCCCCTGGGTACACCTGGATGTACCCTCTCTCCTGTCTGCCTGCCCTCTCCCAGACCCACCCTCTGCCTTCACCCCTCATCTGCTGTTTCCTTATATATAAATGCAGCAGAGCAAGTGCCAAGATGGCAGATTTCAGAACCAGGCAAACCCGGGTACAAGTTCCAGCTCCATTACCATCCAGGAAATCTCAGCCCTTTTAACAATGAACTTTGGTTTCTTTTCATCCTTAAAACAGGGGTTGGCCAGGCACAGTGGCTCATGCTTGTAATTCCAGCACTTTGGGAAGCGGAGGTGAGAGGATTGCTTGAACCCAGGGGTTCGAGACCAGCCTGGGCAACTTGGCGAGATCTCATCTCTACAAGAAATCAAAAAAATTAGCTGAGCTTGGTGGCACACGCCTGTATTTCCAGCTACTTGAAAGGTTGAGGCGGAAGGATCACATGAGCCCAGCAGGTCGAAGCTGCGGTGGCTGTGAACATGCCACTGCGCTCCAGCCTGGGTATCAGAGTGATGATACTCTAACAAAAAAAAAGGGGTTAAAATTTTTTTAAAATTGTACTTCACCAGGTCATTGCAAAGATTCAGTGAAATTCGGTGGAACATGAAGCTAATACGTCCTATGTCCAGGAGGTTGTAAATTTTGGTGAAATTCGCAAAAGAAAAATACTTGAGCTACAATTGCGTGAGATGTCCGTCTCCACTTTGGTGTCCTCCCCACTGCCCTCTCCACTCTGTCAGTGGGGATCAGGCTAAGGGAGACGTGAGCTGGGAATGGGAATGCATTTAGAGTAGGTCTGCTAGCAATGTTTAGGGGGCTTCCAGGCAAGTCCCCATGAAATTAGGAAGTTGTTAGATGTCCTGGCGTAGACATATCTTCTAGGACACTCGCCTATTCTCCTGGCATTGTGACAAAGGTGTGCCCATAGGCCTTCCAGAGAGTAACTAAATGATAAAAACATATTCCGTCTGCTGAAACGACGGAAGACATACAAGGGGAGACCCCCAAAACGCGGGTTTATCTTCTGGAGGGCAAAGCCCTTGGAGTACAGGCTTTCCCCGCTGGTAAGTGTTCCAGAGACCCGCTGGCCTCAGTGTGCCAGCTGGTGGTGTTGTGAGAGGCTGCGTGCAGCTGTAGCGAATTTTTTGGTGGCATATAGCTGATTTCCACCATGACAACGCACCTGCCCACACCACGCTGAGTGTTTAGCAGTTTTTGCTGCTATGCCTCATCCTCCCTATTCACTCGATCTTACCCCCGCAGCTTTCTTCTTGTTTCCCCAGATTAACAAAGTCCTCAAAGGGAAGCGTTTTGCCGAGAGGTAAAAAGAACAATGACAACAATGACAACAACAACAAACAGCAGGAGCACTACCAGGCATCAAAGTTGAGTTAAAAAACGATTGAGCACGGGAAAAAGCATCTTGATGGGTGTATTGCATCAGAGGGAGACGACTTTGAAGGTGACTGAAGTTTAAACATGTAAGAAAAAATACACAATTTTTTATACATAAATTCCAGGTTTTTTAAGTCCCCCCTCATATATGAAAAAAATTATGACCCCTTACCTTGTAGCATAACAAAAATTGACTGAAAATGGATCACAGACCCACCATTAAAGCTAAAACCATAGCCGGGCTCAGTGGCTCAGCCTGTAATCCCACGCCTTCGGGAGGCTGAGGTGAGTGAATTGCCTGAGCCCGCGGGTTCGAGACTCGCCTGGGCAGCGA